TAAGTTACCAACCCTATATTACTAATAATAATAGTGCATAAGGTATAAATGGGCATCACCCTGGACCCACACAACCTGCACGGGTGGTCTGCTGAGGGAAGTTGTTTGGTAAAGTTGATCAATTACTAACTCTAGCTAAGAGGCCCAAAACCTTTTGTTTGACAACTAGCTAGAGTTATCCTAGTACAAAGGTAACCAATACAACCAATTAGCTACTTTGGTGTACCAATTACAATCAAATAAATCAATTTAAGGTCAATGAAAAACATGCTTTTAGGTTTTAAAACCATTAAAGAACAAAATCAAGTCTTAAATGCTTATTTATACAATCTTTTTCCCAATCAAACAAACCAAGTAGTGACACTACTCACAAATTTTTATTCTGAAAATACAAACGCATATTTGAAACTGAAAAAAGACATTTGTGAACAGATTTAAAGCTGAATCAGACACGATACACAGAAATACTGCAATTTCAGACAGAGTACATCAGATTCAGACGCAAATTCAAAGTCTATTGCAGATCCAGTTTAAAAACACCAACATTGTTCATTTTCGAACAGAGAATCGGAAGACCGGACACAAACATCGATCAAACAACACACGTTTCACTGAACATCTCAGATCCGGACTGAATCCGCGACTAGATTTCAGTTTCGAGCAGATAGAACTCAAATCCGAACACAACCAAGCAAAAATTCAAAAAGTTTACTAACTTGTTACCCTCGTAGATGCGCTCGTAAACGAGATCGGCCGAACTTGAGTTCTCGAGAACGCGCTTGTGCCTGTGATAGCCCTAACCGAGATCCTCCCCGCAATCAGGTGCGTGTGTTGGAGCGCGCAGGGAGTTCGCCGGAGAAGGCGGAGCTTCACCCTACCCTTTTGCGTTTGCTCTATCTCCCTCTGTCTGTTGTTCTGGCATCCGCTCTACACGAGAAAGAAAAAAATATTTTTTTAAAAAAAACGAAATTGTGACCTTTTGACTCCTCGACCAAAATTGATAAAAAAGGATATAAATATTTCTTGTGTTCCATAATTATTTTCTTTTTTAAAGAAATCTATGGGTGGGCATGTTTGGGCAATTGAGTATTTTAAAAAAATCGTAGCATGCGGTTAGTATTTAACGATTTGGTACAATTTGGTTTTCGTATCATATCATTTGAAAAATCGAGAATATCATGTCATACTAATGTCAAATCATATCATAATATTTCACTACTTTGAAAATATTTTTATTTATAAATAAATTATTGATGTAATTAAAGAATGGTGCACTATTTTTATGAATTTTTACTCAAAAAAATATCTTGTTTAGTTACAATTTTTGACAAACATGATTGTAGTTGGAATTTTTAAGAAATAAATATACTCTCTCCGCCCGAAAATATTCTTTTCATTTGACTTTTTTTGGTCAAAGTTTATAAACTTTGACTATGATATGTGGAAAAAATATATTGTATTACGACATAATTTTAATATGAATATATATTCATTTTGAAATATAGTTTTCAAATATCAAATTTTTATAAAATATATCCATGTATAAATAAAGATATTTGTAGTCAAAGTGCAATATTGGAGACCGTAAAAAGTCAAATGGAAAAAAGATTTCCGGACGGAGGGAGTATAATTTATGTTGAGCTTATGAAGTGAGAATTTTACATTTTAGTGGAAGCGATTTAGTTCGGTATTTTCAATTGAGAACCTATCTCGTACCATTTTAATAACGATTTGATTTGTTTCGGAATATAATTACTAGAACCCTTTGAAAAACTGCTTTTCGACTTGGTACAAAGTGGGTCCGTTTCGAAACAATGTCGGGCCGGTACTTTTGCCCACCCCTGTTTGAAGGATTGTTTTAACGTTTTTGCTATTAAATTTAAATATTCTTCTTTTTTTGCATCTTTCTTCAATTTAGTACACCAAAAATGAAAAGTGAAACATCTTTCATTTAATTTAAAAAATGTGTTTATTTACATTTTTTTTCATAAAGAATATAATGCAATGTATTTGTCAAACTTTAAATTATACACAACAGTTTAGAAAAGCATTAATGGATGCATGCACATATACTCTAATGACTTTAATACTTCGAATATTATTTGAATTTGATGTCATAGGAAGTACGTACCTTATGTACGTTATTGCTCTAATAATATTTAAGACCTATAATGAACTTACCTCATCCTCATCAAATCAATAAATTGATCACACTTTTTTATTTTATTCTATTTTAATAAATAAGTAAATAAATATTCTTCAGAAAAATAATTAAAGAATCCTAATTGAATAGGGTTGAAGAATTGTGGTGCTGAGAAGATGGCACCCCATTTCTTCATGTGTTTCACCCTACTTATTAGTGCCTATTTAATCACCTCATTGCAAGGTTATTAATATCCTTTAATGCTTTAATTTTTATTAAAATTTAATATTATTGTTAGATAAATAAACCCTTTTAAACACGTACTCCAATCATATATTCCGTATTATTTACCACATATTCATCTTTTGGCCAAAATTTAAGTGTACGTTCTTTTATTGAATATGTCACGAGAGATTGACCAAATTTGTATACAAATCTTCGTCAAAATTTAGACAATTTGATCACAAATCCATAAGGAAGAACAATGGCATTTTTGTAAGCGGCCATCAATGTTTGTTCTCGTCTTTAAACTCGCCTAAATATTTTGTTTCTCTGAAATCATGATTCCTCGATCTCATCCTTATTGTTAGCGGCCATCTTGTGAGGCTATGATGCTCAAGGTTCAATTTCTTTGGAGATAGAATTAGGTTTGCCAATAAAGGATGTTTTAAAGTTGTTATTCTGGTTGTTTATGCAATGCAGGAATCGTAGAGTATGATTATTCAGCTCCAACAGAGGTAACAAGAAAAAACATCTATATCCATATATAATTCAATAGAGTACACCTCTCCATCTTGCAAACATATTTTACACTTTGACTCATATAAAAAAGTACGGTTGAAATTTGTTTTGAAGAGAAATAAATGTTCTAAGCCAAATATTCACCATAAAAGGAAATATGAGAAGTGCGAAGCTTATTATGAGATAAACAAAATTATGAAGTTTTGATGAGGAAATGTTATGTAATAAAGAAACAACACTAAATACTTTAATGAGAGCCATGTTTCCTATAATGGAAAAAGCCATAATTACCTCCAAGGCTTATCTTACCCTTTTGTTATTTTCAAGAGGGTGTTTGGCAGTGCGCTGCTTTTAGTAATTTAGCTTCTGCTTTTGAGTGGAAGTGATTTTATTCTGTTTGGCATGTCAGCTTCTGCTTTTCACCACCACTATTTTATACACAGAACACCGTTTTGGAGAAGCATGTATGAGGTGCTTTTGCTTTCAACTTTTGTGAAAATCACTTTATCCAGAAGTTAATCACTCCCAAACAAGCTCCAAGTATATGGATTCATATATACTCCCTCCGCCCTACTTAGAACTTCATATATTTTCCATATTTGAGTATTTTAAAAGAAAATCGCACTCCTATTTTTTCTTTAAAAAGTAAAGAATAGATGTCACACGAAGTTATCTCTTCTAAACTAATTTCACTCGCGTACCTTTTATTTTTAAATATTTTTGTTGAATTTCATAAAATCAAACATTGTACTGAAGTTCTTTTCAAGAAAGAGAGAATAAATGATGAGTACATTTGTAAACAGTGTAGGCAGCTACCTGAGAGACCATTGTATGATGGAGGGCTTCTCAAGAACCAAGAAGTTGATTACCAATGGGTCAGAAATGAGTGGGGATATAGGGTGTACGTCCCGGCTTTTATCCTACCCGACCTCGTCCCTGGCACTTATTATACATTTTCCAGTTAAGAATATTCCTCTAACTCTTCTTTTTCTTTAAGAATTCATCGTTTTTTCTTTCATTCAATAACGGAGTCAAGAAAAAGTTGTAGAACTTTTTTGAACCCCGCGGGCATTGTAGGCTGGGTGAAGGCTAGTGGAGGCGATGGCAATTCAACGGTTGTTTGGGCAAACGTGGGGTCCGGAGGAGGAAGCGTTTGTGGTGCCACAGTGATTGCCAACCAAGGATGTTGGAGCTTTCTCAAGGGAGGATTTTACTTGAATCAAACCCTTAACACATCTGTCCTTCACTTTGAGGTGCACAATGATCCATATATGATGAATATACAATCATCATATCAATCATCATATCATCATATCATATATATATATATATATATATATATATATATATATATATATATAAAGTTGAGCGGCTTAAATGTGGTAACGATATGTGTCACTCCACACGTGTATATTTGTAAAACGTGTCATGCCACATGTGTATCACATGCCATATGGCATGCCATGCGTGCATATTAATTTTTATATTAAATAATCACTATTTTTATTATACTTTATAAATCAGATTATAAACTTTCACTCTCTAACTTTAATAATAATTTTTGTATTATATTTTCATAATTGTAATATTTTTTAAAGTTCAAAAACTAATGTCATTAATTTAAAAATGTTAAATAAGTTATTTTTTATAATCCATAATTTATATTTCTATTACTTCTAAAAAGCAATTTCATTAATTTATCACATATGTATCTTTTTTTTGATTGCTATTGACTCTATTACATACGCACCTTTATTAACTATATGATATATATTTCAAAACTTTAGATTTATTTTATTATATGCCATCAGTCCTAAAACTGAATTCTCATTTACGAGATTTGAGTGAAGTTATTTTAAATTCAATTTGTTTGATTAAGTGTAAAATTTAAAAATAAAACTTTTATATTTAAAATTGCATCAAAAGTTTAAAAAAAATTATAAATGACATGACTATATTATTTTATCAAATGAGTAATGAAAATAAAAAGTAAAAAGTTAAAATTTTAGAATGTTTAAGACCCCGTGCTTCGCACGGGTTAATACTAGTGTCCCATATATATGATTGTTGACAAGCGACCAATTAACTTTGTTCTTTTAAACGGTTGTTTGTAGGACTTCAGCGGGAAAAACATCCACATAGATGTTGCGAGTGGTTCGTTGCAACCATTCTCTGAGGAGGAATGGGTGGCACACCAGCAAGAGATGGTTGCAAAGGTAATTAACGATTAACCACATCAGACCCGACCAAACCGTTACCAAACGTCAATCAAATATTTTGTCTTTGTGTTGCAGGTGAGGAAACGCGAGACTATAGTGACAGTAGTATCAAGTCAAGAACAAGGAGGTGTTAAACTTCAAGGAGCCAACATTACAGTTGAGCAAATCTCTAGAGGATTTCCCTTTGGAGCTGCCATTTCTAAAGCCATCCTTTCAAACCCCCAATATCAGGTGATATAGGTCTCGTTTGGAAACAACATTTTCAATTGACGTAAATGCTGAAAGTGTTTTTGCCAATGGTCATTTGCAGGAGTGGTTCGTGAGGAAGAGATTTGGGGTGACGGTGTTCGAGAACGAGCTGAAATGGCCGGCAACGGAGCCGATTCAGGGGAAAGTCAACTACACCATCGCCGACGAAATGGTAGATTTCGTGACGAAGAACCAAATCCTCTGCCGAGGCCACAACGTGCTGTGGCAGGACCCCAATTTCACGCCGTCGTGGGTTCGCAACCTGACGACGTCGCCGGATCTTCTCCGGCAGGCGGCGGAGTCCCGCGTCCGCGGCGTCGTGGGGCGGTACACGGACAAGTTCATCCACTGGGACGTCAACAACGAGATGCTCCACTATGCCTTCTACGAGGAATCTCTGCGTGATCCAAACGCGTCCTTGGAATTCTACAGGATGGCTCAGGAGATCGACCCCAACGCCACCCTGTTCCTCAACGATTTCAAGCTCGTCGAGTCCTGTGGCCACCGGAGCAACGTCGACGCTTACGCCGCCAAAATCAACGAGTTCCGGCGGGGCGGGATCCGGAATCTGGGGATGGGATTGGAGGGGCACTTCTTCGATTCCCCCAATCCGGTCTACACCAGATCCGTTCTCGACAAATTAGCAACCCTAGGAGTCCCCGTCTGGATCACGGAGGCCGACACCACCGGGAAATACGGGCCGGCGAGCCAGGCGGCGGATCTGGAGAAGGTCTTGAGGGAGCTCTTCTCGCACCCCAGCGTGGACGGAATCATACTCTGGGTGGCGATGAGCCCCGCCGGGACGTGCTGGCGGATGTGCCTCACCGACGAGAACTTCAACAACACGCTCGCGGGAGACGTCGTCGATAGGCTCCTCGGTGAGTGGTACACCGGCACGCTCGCCGGCGTCACAGACGGGGACGGGGTTTTTAGCTTCTCCGGCTTCTTGGGAACTTATAAAGTGACGATCGAACATCCCTCCGGTAATTCTTCTTGGACTGTAATTTCGCTCACCAAAGGTGAGGATCCTCTCCATTTCCAAATCCAGATCTGATAGATTCAAACTGTATTATTCTTTGATCTACAATGGAGTAATTTAAAGAAAAGATTGAACTCTTTACATTCAAATCAATCATTTACATTTCGAAGTGGATGATAATTAGGGGTGGGCAAAAAAACAGAACAAGCATGATATCATACCGAACTGTAATGGTACCAAACTGTTTATAGTGTTTTCAAACGGGATTGATTTTTTTCATCACGAACCGAAACTGAATCGATACCAAATGGGACGGGACCGTGATACATATATTTAAAACTGATTATCACGGATCGAACTGTCCAACGTTATATACGGAGTACGTATCTCAAATAATTATGGAGTATTTGTCTACTTAATCTTGCCGTATATAAATACTTCGTATTTTATTATTCATTTTAAAACTCTCTCATTATTATTGTTTTTATTATATTTATCGTTACTATTAGCATTATTTTTTTTTATAGTTATTAGTATTCCGATATTATATCAATTAGGAATTTTTTTTAACTTTGGACTCGTTATCTTTTATTCTTTATATTTATGGTCCGTTTAAATTTGAAATTAATACTTTTATTTAACAAACTTGTGTTTTTTTATACAAATTTATACGTTAAATTCATTATTCTTTGATTAATGTACATTCATTTATTTGGCACGGTTTGAGCATGAGTATGGTATTGTTCCGTTCCGTTTCAAAACGAAATGGTACCGAATGGTTTTGGAGTTCATCCCGTACCGATACCAAACCGTTTAAATAAGAGCGGTCCGTGATAGGTTCCGGTAATATCACGGACCATCACGGACCGCGCCCACCCTTAATGATAATGAGAGAAAAATAAAGAATTCCATAGAATTGAATTAAGCTATTTGTACCTGTACACGGCTGCGCCTTCATTTTGTGTGAGAGTGTAATGTTAGGGTGGTTGTTCACACAGGCACTAAATGTTAGTGCAAATTTTTGTTAATACATCAACACTTTGTGTTAATGTCAACCATCAAAATGTTAGTGTATACTTTTGGTGTAATTTAAGTGTACACTTTTTGGTGTAAGTGTAACATGATTGTATAGAATATCCTGAACAATAGTTAAAAGTTACTCCTTTACACTAACATCAACTTCAACGAGGGATAATGAGCGATGATTAAATATGAAGAGGAATAATGTACACTAATAAAAATATGGGAAATTTACTTAAATAATACTAAAATATAATGATTTTTTTCTAAATAACACCATATGTGTTTTTTCTCAATGTAGCATTTTTAGTCATTATCCATTAGTCATTATTCAAATAAGTGTACGCCATTTAAGTTATAAAACAGTTTAAGTGCTATTTAGAAAAATGATTAAATATTTTGTGCTATTAATATTTCTAAAATATCTGTTGTATGGTCAATGTGAAAAAGTGATGAAGTGTGAAAGTTTGAAATTTTTTGTTTAGTTGGGGTGGAAATGTATTAAATTTTAATTGGTTAAAATTGAAAAAGAAGAACAGTAACACTAGTCACGTTCAGGGGGGTCGTGCCCCTCCAACATGGTGTTGCGTCCGGTCGTGCGAACCGCGTCACTCACGTCCTCCTCCCTCTTCCTCGAATTTTTTAGTGCAACGAGTAACTAGTTGGGCCTTGTTAGGTGCAGAGTGCGCATACATTCTTCGAGGAGATAATTGAATAAGAAAATAATCAAACTTATTAGTACGTATGTTTTTTTAGAAATTGTCTAAAACAAATCTGTAAGATCTTATTCAAAACAGATAATATCTAACTAATACAAGATTGAGGTGAGGGTTCGCGTCATCCCAGCATATGGTATCAATGGGCAAAGATCACAAGTTCGGTGCTCGTCGGCTTGAAGAGATGTTTGTGGGGTGCAAATATGCCTCTACACCGAAGAGAAGGGATTGAACAAAAATATTTGGTAAATAGGTTCAATTCAACTCATTAGTATGACTTCTTTTTATAATATGCTAACAAATCTATAAAGATTTGTCTTGCAACGCTATGAAATATACCTTAATTACTAATAAATCATAACAAAGATTTTCGTCGATATTAAATAAGAATTGAAGTGAATGACTAAAAATAAGATATTTTCAAAGTTATCTTTTATACTCAAATTTACATTAGTGTACGAATTTGAATCATGAAACTTAGTTAATGAGTAAAACAGACAACATTTTAGTTTTTTCCAGTACTTCCTATTCCGTCAAGTTTCTTCCAACATCTAGTTTTTTTTTCAATTCTTCTAGTTTTTTTTCCATTATTAAAGAACATACTCTTAGTATAAATATTCCTTGTTAATTTTCGAAACAGGCGCACCGTGCACGAAGCAGTGAAGCACTGGGTGGGTGCGCCTGCCTCGTTTTTAGTTTTCGAATAGGAAATTTTTGTAAGAATTTAAAAAATTTGGGCCAAAAATGAAAAGAATGAAACTTTTTAATAAATAAAAGAATTGGGGAGTCCCACTTAGTGAGACTGGGAGATAGCTCGCCCGATAAAGACTCCGCCGCCTGAGTCTTGGTTTCTTTACCGATCGTCATCGCCGACGCCTTCTATCCGGCGTCACTCTTCAGGTATCCTCTTCTCTTCTCCGACCCCCTTTTATCTGTAAACTCCATATCTCTCAGCCCCTCTCTCTCTCTCTCTCTCCTTCTCCTTGTCTAAGTCTCTCCCTTTCCTCTTTCGCTTTCTTGGCTATTTAATGGCGTGTTCTCTACTGGTATGAATTTCTAATCGTGTTATAAACTATGAAGCGCTGGTGCTTCAAAAAACATGCGCACTAAGCACCGAAAAAGTCTGTAAATGTGTCATAAACTTTGAGACATTTTATGTGGCTTGATGCTAACCTTAACGGTAATTTGAGACTTGTATTATGATTCCTATCTATTTTGTGTGATGTTATGTGATTGATCTATTTAAAATTAGGATAAGTGATATATTTTGTGAATATTTCAAACATAAATACATGTATCTTACAAAGATATGAATAATACAAATAAAAAATGTATAAATAAATTTGCCGCACCCACGCACCAGTAGTGCACCCGCACCGGTCGCAGCACCCAAACATGTGCTTCATAGGGTACTCGCATCATCTATTTGTACGAATGTTCAACGGATATTACAAGGTATTGTATTTGTATCTGATTTTTTAATACTACCTTTGGGAAGTGTACACATTGTCCTAGGAGTTCAGTGGTCGAATACTTGGGAAGAATACTATTTGATTTCAAAAACAGAATAATTGAGTTCAATTTTGAAGGAAAGAAGCATATCTTGATATAGTAGCTAGTAGTCAACTGAAGGCTACAAGGATAAATAAAAACTGGGGAAAAGGATAGTTATTACAGGGTCAACTCTTTATGATGGCCCCTACTACCAAAGAGGATATCCAGAGTTATCTTGTTTCCACAAACAAACTGAAAAAGGAAGGTCCAATTTCCACTGGTATTTTTGTATCTTGCAAAGTTTAGTAGTGTTTTTGAATTGCCAATGGACTTACCACCTTGCAGAGGAGCTTTTGATAACCAAGATATGCCTTTAATAGAATGGTGCATTGGTGGTACAACACACCCTATCATACCACAATTGAATGCACTCCCTATGAGGTCATGTATGGTCAAGAGCCTCCCATTCATCTTCCTTATCTGACAGGAGAATCAAAATCTGAAATGGCGGATAGATCATTTATAGCCCGAGAAGTTATCATTAAATTACGAAAGCATCATATCTATAAAGAACATAAAAGAATGAAGGATATGGCATATAAGTACAGATCAGATAGACAAGTTGAAGTGGGAGATTGGGTCTGTTTTAGAATTCCAGCCCTATAGGCAGATATCAGTTGCAGCCAGACCCTTTCAGAAATTGGCAGCCAAGTACTATGGATCCAATCAAGCCATTGCTCCCTGAGGCTACTATATGTTTCACAGCTTAAGAACTGTTATGAAGTTCCACCTACAAGCAATCACCCTCCTGTTCTAGAGCTGTCAAGCCCAAACTTCCCTACTCCTATTCGAATTTCAGAAAGGAGGTTGGTCAAAAAGAGACATCGGTTTCCTTTCTTCCAGACTTGAGGACAAGTCTAATCTTGCAAATTGGGGGTATTGGTACAAGAATAAGAACTTTGCTGAGCTTAAAAATAGTTAGCATTGGATAAGCTTGTAATCCATTTATGTTATTCTCTAACTACGTTTGTTAATCCCTTGTAATCAGCTTGTATAAAACACTCAGCATACTTGTAATCTTGTATTGAGGGTATGAATTGATAATCAATTCTTCTTTCTCTCATTCCTTCTTCCCAAATTCTTCCCTTCTTCTCTGTTAACTCAATCTTCTCGGTGACTCTCTGGGGTTGAATTGTGTGTTCTTCAAAATCTCCCATTTCCTAGAATTCTACCTTAGATTTTTGGTATCAATTAACCAATGGTTTTTAACAATTTTAACATCTCAATGGAAGTATCTCTTTCTACTATAGATGTGTTCTTGCAGGTCTTTCTTAGAAACTTGTAGTCAATATTTTAAATCTATGACATGCTCTACCCGTCCCTCTGTACCATTTTAGAAGTCTCAATTGCTTTTTGGTTGGATAGTAAATTAATAAAAAAAGGATATTTTGTGCATTTTCCATGGGTAACTTCCATATTTATGAGAGTTAAGTTTCAAAAATTAGAATGCTAATAGAATCCAAGGATGCAAAGTGGACACAATTGTTGGACATCTTATAAATAGGAGAGTGAGACTTATACAATGGGACAGAGAATAGGAGAGTGAGACTTATACAATGGGACAGAGAATAGGAGAGTGAGACTTATACAATGAGACAGAGTATGTTTTACAAACTTTCCAAAATGTGAGAGTAAGGCTAGTTTAGAGTCAATCATGGTGAGAAATTTTTATCAAGATTGTATACCAAAATTGATTTATGGCAGGTCTGACCGCCAACAATAGTTCCTTGTGAACTGCACAATCAATTAAAATTTATTTTTTGTTGTATGAAGCCCGATGGATTTGTCAAACCCTGCGGTGTTTGTCAATGCTGAGCTACTACGCATGCATGTGGGACGGAGGGTTAGGGCAGTGGTTCAGGTAATTCGCTCTGACG